GTTGATGAGGGTGTCACGGTCAACAGTCAAAACAATCGTCCAGATTAAAGGTCCTGGAGGGCCGGACCTGGCCCCTGGGCTGCATGTTTGACACCTGTGCTCTAGAGCCACATCAGCCCGTTTGACATTATAATGTGTTTAATGCAGCTTTGTGCAAGTCTCACAGAAATCAAACTTAAAAATGCATGGCTCATTTGCATAAACTAAGAGGAGAAAAGAAAAAAAAAAGCTGTTGTGCGCTGATGCAGTTCAGCTTTTGTTGGACTAAAGGACACGACTCAGTAGAATATGAGTGTTCTTTCTGTGACAGAGGGATGTTGATGCTGAAGGTGAGTCTGTTCTGTGTCTGTGTCACGATGTTTTCAGATCAGACGTGTGCAGGTTTATCACAGATGCGGTGAGAACGGGAATGAAAATTAGGCTACACTTCTTTGCGGCAGCGAGCGGAGCAGGACTGCACAGTGCGACTGTGTCCTAACAACACATGAAAACAGATTTTATAATAAGACAACTCACGAACAGAAACAGTAAAGTTAGAGATTAAAAATGAGATTAACGCGAATTAAAAAACATAACGCACTAAATATGACTGTAATTAATTAATCGCAATTAACGCAATAATTTGACACTCCTATTAAAACTCTCCACTGTGGGGGCTGTTGGGACGAGGGGGGGCAGAGTGTTCCAGAGTTTGGGTCTAGCCACAGAGAAAGCCCCATCCCCCCTGGTTTTAAATCTCTATTTAGGCCCCACGAGCTGAATTAGGACACTCAGAATGCATGAGGTAAGTGAGGAAGAACCACTGCAAACTTAAAATGAACTACTGTATTTTTTGGACTATAAGTCCCTCCGGAGTATAAGTCGCAACAGCCAAAGAATGCATAATGAAGAAGAAAAAAACAAATAAAAGTTGTTGCTCTTTTTGGTTGGAGTTTATTTTATAAAATCAGAGACCAAGAATCGACATTTCCTGTTGAAAGTCAAGTTCTAGTAATAAGAATAGAAGAGAGAAGAACAGACTGTTAACGTCACATATGAACAGTTCTTCAGATAAACTATAACATAAACAACAGAACAGAACAAGTTTACCAAACTCTCCATCTCACTCCAAATCACTAAATCCATTCAATTCTTCATCCTCGGTGTCACTTCTGAACAACTGGGCCTCGGAAATCCGGAGGTAAACAGAGCGACTGCTTCCTCTTCTGTGTCGCTGTCGTCAGACTCAGCATCAGTTCCAATTAGAATTATTCTGGTCTTTCTGAATCCCGACAGGATGGTTTCAGTGTCACTGAAGTCCAGACTTTGTCCATCCATCCAGTGACTTCAGGAAAGTTTCATGGTGCATCCTTCCAGTGTCACAAGTTTCTCTCTCACTCCAAACTTTCTTTCTGCCGCTCAATTACTGTTTTCACGACTTGCAGCAGGACAGAGGCTCTTTCTGCAGGAGACATGTGCAGTAGAGTGAAGTGACAGTGGTACAGGAGGAACAGGAGCAGCAGATACTCACACACAAGACTAGAGCTGAGTCTTGTTGCCGGAGTATAAGTCACAGGAAACACCCAAACCATGAAAAAAGTTTAACTTATAGTCTGAAAAATATGGTAGTTCTGTTTTTCACATTTTTAAAATCACATGTAAGCTGAGGTTTTTTATGTTCTGTTGCATCATTGATGCTAACAAAGAGAAGACATCATAGGTGTTCCTTTTGGTATAGGATATACAGAACCCTTTGGGCAAAATTAGCCTCTTTGGTACTGGGGTCCACGCAGACCCCACAATAACAAAAAATATGTTTGAAGAAAATGTGGGTGTCTCATAAAAAACTTAAGGTGTGTGATCACAATAGATTGTCATATTGGCAAGAAAATCAACACGGGGCCTTCTGTATCTTGCTTGAGGTTTAGCCATATTGTCAGTTTCTACAACAACGAAAATCACGACAAGTGATGTGAATTTATTATCAATGCAAGTTTAAGTCTTTCTTAACTTAAATGAAACAATATGAAACTCTGGTATCTGTCAGAGAAATATCAAAAACAAATAATAACCAGATGTTAGACACCTGGTTCCCAAATGAATTTTTTGTCTACGCACCACATAAATAATGGTAAAGAAATGAGCTCTTGGGCATGTGATAGCAACAAGTTGGGTGACAACTACCTAAATGGACCAAGAAAAAGACACAACGCAACCAGAAATATGGCGATGTTACTGATTAGGGTTAAACCTAAATGCCTCTCACTGATCTGAATGATCACTACCTAAAACCCAGCCCCTGCAGCCTCATACACTGAGAACAAAAGGTTAAGGCTCTGGCAACATTGTAGTGTACACTTTAAAATCAAGTAGTACTTTTTGTGGTCTTTGTTAATATCAAATTTATCAGAGAGAGAGAGATACTTTATTGATCACAAGGGAAATTCAAGACTCAAGTTTTGCTGCAGCAAAGGGACCATCATATTAACCAGATTCATTGAATAGCTATTAGATTGCAAACGGCCAGTTAATGTGAGTTTTTTTTTTTTCAGTGATAAACGTGATCATCTTTATAGAGTGCACATACAGACACAATATTTATTTTCATCAAAACACAACATTTACATTTTCTCTGTCATTTTGAGTCTTTACTTCTCTGGCTGTGCACAAAACTCCTGTCTTTGAACTACACAGACCTTTGGAGTCAGAACAATGATTAAAATTACAGTAACTTTCTGGAGGTGGTGCATCACCTGCATAATTCCATGGAAATAGATCTGAAGTCATATTTCAGATCATTCTCCATGGAATATGTTTGATATGCCACACTGTGTAATGTGTGTGGAATCCCTCAGTCATCCTCTGCTGTGGAATATTACAACCAGAAGTACAACATTTCCAGAGAAACAAGTCGGAGGAGGCTCTTCTGCACGTCAGATATCAAATAGAGTCACATTTGCAGAGATGCAAATCTGCAGACTAAGGACAAATGTTTTCTAGGTTTTCCCATGCAACAAACACAACCAAAATGAAAAAAGTAAAATAAAAAAATAAAAGCTTTTAATTGTGACTATTTTGTGACTAAAAAGTTACATACTGTAGGCAATAGAAGAAGTTAAATTTGGCAACTGGACAAAAGTTTCCAAGTTTCCAAGCTGTTTCTTGTTTCTCAGACTCTGGTGGACACTGTCTTATATCTGCCTGAAGGGAGGAGCTAACTACACTGAAACTACTCTGAAACTAACACACCTATTTGTTTACAGTTTCTGTTAGTTAGTTAGTTAGTTAGTTAGTTAGTCAGTTGGTTAGTTAGTTAGTTAGTAGTTAGTGTACAGATCTTAGCCAGAGAAAAGAATTGGTTTGAGAGGCTATTTTTGTTAAGTGAATCCTTCCTTGAACAGAAGTGGAGGCCTCAGACATCATCTGTCTGTCATTTCTATCCTCCATCCTCAAATCTAAATCAAAACAAAGAAAGAAAACAGTAGGGACAACCAGGTCAGGCCCAGAGATATGAACACACCCATTATGGCAGCTTGGATGAGCTGCAGAACATACTCAACCAAAATAAACTTTTGTCCAGTTGACAAATTGTCAACTTTTGCCCTGGATTCTACCTGGACGATTGAGGGATTGTACTTACATACTGCAGCTTTAACGGCACATTCAATGTCCATAGCAGCCCTAATAAAACTCAGAGTTCAACATTGTTCCTTTAATTATGTATCCATGTGTACTACAGTAGTATGCAGACAGTCACTGCAGCGTATCAGTGTAGAGTAAAGTTCTTGATCATAATCACATTTTAAAATCTGACAGAAAGACACATCTTTTGTTCGTAATGCTTGTATTTTCCCCGTCGTCTCATTAGCGTCATTGTTCCAGCGGCTCACACAGAGGACAGATACAGCGTCTTTAGTCTCACTTCTCTTCTCAAGGTCACGCACACGTCACCTTATTTGTGATCCATTATCAAGCGGCGTGTGGTTAAAAATACAGCTCGGTGTGGTGCTATTTAAAAGCCCCGTGGTGGTGTCATGACAGCAGCGTGTCCGGGAGCACGTTGTAATTGTTTCGTTTTTACAAAAAGGTAAATGAAATCGGCAGGGAGCACAGCAAAGGTGATAGATTCAAAAAGATGATATTTTCAAAGACTCTGGTGTAATTTTAGACGTGCTGTTTCCAGGGCTCTTTCTCACTCTGTGGGGGGTCTGTACTACATGAGTATTTGTGTATTTGACTTATTGTACTTCCCGGGGTAGACACCCTGGAGTAATATATAGTACAGTGTAACAGTACTCATACTTGAGTAAAAGTTGTGCTTCGTCTTCTCACTGTGAAAAAGTCTAGTGACTAAAGTTTTATGTGAAATGACTTGAACATTTATTATTCTTCACAGAGCTCCTTTTGTTTTTCTCAAATTTGCAATCCGATGTTGTGCATTATTTAATGTTTATTTCAACTTCAAATCATTAATCAAACTGCATTTTGTTTTAGTTTTTTTCCACAATACTTTGTAGTATAATTAGTTTGTTAGTAGTATAGTAGTATTATTTGAGCAAATTTTGTTCACAAATCGACCTACTCCACAGAGATAAAAATTGAATTCAAAGAGGATTTAATTATTTAGGTCCCTCTGTGCAGGACATTATATTGACACTTTATATTTTGTTTTTATTTCACTCTTGTGTCATTAATCCATTAATCCTAATTCATCTTCTCTCATCACTCAAAAATACTCTGTTTGAATGTAGCCAGTTTAGTTGTGTCATAGATAAAACTCTGGATTTCTCCTGTGCAGTTTAAAGTGCACAAATTCTCACTGGACCCATTTTGTGCTCAATTTATTTATTTTCTTGTTCCTTCCTGTTGCTGACAGCAGAGGGAGCTCCAAGTATAGTACATGCAGACATTATTTTAAGTTAGAAAATGTGAAATACATACTGACTTGCTTAAGGTCAGACTTGTACGTTGGTGTTTCTCATTTGTTTTTCTTGACTGTGCTGTTCTGTTGTTTTTTGCAGATTGCTGAATCGTCCAACTCTTTCCTCAACCGGATGCTGAACAGAGACACCATCACGAGAATAACGTACAAAAGTAAGTGCGGTTTAATACACACAGAATTATGTATTGATTTAAGGGGGCCGGGTCGCGGGGGCATCAGTCTAAGCAGGGACTCCCAGACCTCCCTCACCCCAGACATGTCCTCCAGCTCCTCCCGGGAGAACCCCGAGTCGTTCTCATGCCAGCCGAGAGACATAGTCCCTCCAGCATGTCCTGGGTCTTCCCCCGGGACCTGCTCCCGGTGGGACATGCCCAAAACACCTCCCGAGGAAGGCGCCCAGGAGGCATCCGGAACAGATGCCTGAGCCACCTCAACTGGCTCCTCTCGACGTGGAGGAGTAGCAGCTCTACTCCGAGCTTCTCCCCATCCAGCCACCCAGCGAAGGAAACTCATTTTGAGCGCTTGTATCCACGATCTCGTCCTTTCGGTCATTACCCAGAGCTCATGATCATAGGTCCCCGTGAAACCAGCCTCAAATAAGTGGAAGAAAATGGATGGATGGATTTAAGGGTGCATTGTGTAACTTTTCTAGTCACAGTCTCGACCCTCAGAAGTCTTGGTCTTGTCTTGTTCTCGACCTTTAAAAGTCTTGGTCTTGTCTCAGTCTCGACCCTCAGAAGTCTTGGTCTTGTCTTGTTCTCGACCTTTAAAAGTCTCGGTCTTGTCTCAGCTTCTCGACCTTTAAAAGTCTCGGTCTTGTCTTGTTCTCGACCTTTAAAAGTCTTGGTCTTGTCTTGGTCTCGATCTTTAAAAGTCTTGGTCTTATCTCAGTCTCGACCCTCAGAGGTCTTGGTCTTGTCTCGAACCTTTAAAAGTCTTGGTCTTGTCTTGGCCTCGACCTTCAAAAGTCTCGGTCTTGTCTCGGTCTCGACCCTCAGAGGTCTTGGTCTTGTCTTGACCTTTAAAAGTCTCGGTCTTGTCTTGGCCTCGACCTTCAAAAGTCTCAGTCTTGTCTCGGTCTCGACCCTCAGAGGTCTTGGTCTTGTCTCAGTCTCGGGACTCTGTGGTCTCACACTGGTCTTGGTCTCGACTAGTTCAGTCTTGACTACAACACTAGATCTGACCTGTAACTTGGTTTGGTTTGGTCTCCATGAAGATAGAAAGGTTTAATGCCATACTGTGAAACATTCCAGACAAACCAGTAACATCTCCATGGAGAAAACCTTGACTGACTCTCCACCGGAAGTTACACAATGCATCTTTAAAAAATGTATGACTGACTTCTTCCTCTCTTTATTATTCCTGTCACCCTCTGTATTCACCGCAGTGAGTTTAGAAGCTCTTTTCACAACTTTCAAAGACCAGAGCGGAGTTTTGCCGTCACGCCTCTGCTAGCGTGCGCGCTAACAGTGCATTAACCTCATTTCATGGTTTGCCGCCGATAAAAATGCTGTATAATTAAAAGCAGAACAGACAAGGACAAAACAAATGTTGCTTTATTAGCTACATGAAAAATGGGCACAGTCCCTTAAACAAAATAAAGCAGTACCAACATTTAGTAACAACAAATTTAAGGTGCGCTGTGTAACTTTTTTTGGTTTAGGGGCTCCGTCACCTGCTTTTTTTTCTGTGGATATATTGGTGCTCTACCTGGAATGTTCCACAGTGTGACATTAAACACCTCTGTCTTATATTTATTCAATTACAGGTGGTTTTATAGCTGAAAAATACCAAGAAAAACAGACATTCTGACTGTAAGTGGGGTCGCCTCTCCACAGATCTGACTCTGGAGCTTGGTCTGAGTTGGTCTCCATGGCGACAGAAAGTTTTAATGTCGTACTGTGAAACATTACAGACAAAGCAATAACATCTCCATGGAGAAAAGTTCCTTAACTGGTGATGGGCGAATGGAGCCTCGTGAAGCGTTGACACCTCAGGCTCAATATTGTCTTAAATGGTTCGAAGTGTCTGAGGCCTCGGAGAAACACTGACCTCTAGTGGACAAATTTAACAATAAGACAATACTTGTGTGCAGAGTGACACTGTACCTAACAACAACAATAATAATGATGATTTAAAATGATATGTAAGAGCAACATAAATAACATGCTGTAAATAAGAAAATAGGTGTTACCTTGTTAGGTGGAATTGGGTCAAAGTGATCCCAAACCATGGATCACTTTTTTCTTGTAAATGCCATCGAAAATGAAATAAAAAGTCACCAAAATCACCACTAACATCACACAATACTCCTCACTACCCAACATTTTTAACAAATATTGGTGCATCTTTTATGCTGTAGCAGTTTAGCGCTTGTCAAACCACAGAAGTGAGCTGAACACTCTGAAACACTCTGAACCAATCGCAGAGCGGAACATTCGCACTGAGCCAATGAAACGCTTCGATACACTGAAGCGATCGACACGCAGAGTGAAGCAGTAGGGGAGGGACCCACACTTCCACACTTTGGTCACGTGAGCGGCTGCTGCGAGACGAGCGCCGAGGCAGCGCTTCAGAGAGATTTGTTTCAGAAAGAATGAGACGTTCTTTCTGAAACAAAGAAAGAACGTCTTGTTGGGTAAATGAGGGTAGTGATGGGTCTCATTTACCCATCACTACCCTTAACCAAAATAATTTAGTATCAAAATTTTATAACATCTGTGGACATGGGCCAGTTAAAGGGCCCATCTCATGCAAAATCTATTTTTCAGAGCTTTCCACCTTCTAAGAGTGATGTTGGACCTTGTATTTGTCACCAAAGTGGTTTTGAGATTGATTCTGCTTTTTTTTTGTTTTTTTTTAACAAATTGCAGCATATTTCTGCCACCCTCCCACATGACAACGAACTAAAGCTGCTACACGATGATGCGGCAGATACACCTATAACGTGTTTGACGTAGCAGAAGACACTTCGCACCCGCCTCCCTCCCCCGCTCCACCTCCTCCACCTCCTCCACCTCGCATCGACTGACAATTCCCACGTGAACACCTAAACAAAAGCGACAGCATAAGTTTATAAGTTGATCTACTAGTGTTTCTTAATACTTTACCAATCAGTAATGTTCAGTTGATGTGGACTCGGTGCTTGAGCTTCGTGCTCCTCAAAGTCCTCGTCCGATTCCGGGTCCAACACATGTGGCTGAACGCGCTGTATCTCCATGATGAATAAAAGTTTATTCCTGCCACTATCAGGGTGCACGTCTGTCTGCCCCTCCCTCCCTGAGATGGCGGAGGAAGGGCGACTCACTCGTCGCCTACGTCATGTTTGGAGGGCGGAGCCTGTGCTTTCTCAGGACGGGCGGGGGGAGGAGCAATAGTCAACCTTTCATAGTTCCTGGTCTGTGACTGTCTCCAAGAAATCAGTCAGATTTCAGAACTATTGTGTAATGGATGTTCCAAAACCCAAATTGTGCTTGTTTATGTGCAGAAGATACAATGTGAAAAGAGTTATTTTGCATCAGATGGGCCCTTTAAAGGTGCATTGTGTAACTTTTCTAGGTCCACCAAATGCTTTTCTCCTGTTTTTCTTGGTATTTTTTTTTCATCTGCAATTGAATAGATGTAAAGTAGAGCTATTTAACGTCACACTGTGGAACATTCCAGACAGAGCAGTGGCGTATCCATAGAAACAAACAGGTGACCGGTCCCAAACCAAAAAGTTAATGCACCTTTAATTAGTGGATTTATAGAGTCACTCATCTACAGTTTCAATTTCAGTCTTTAACAGTTTTTCATTTCTGTTTTTACCACTAGTTCATCTTTAGTTTTTTTTTTTTTTTTTTTCCAATCATTTCCTGTCTCAACCCGCAGAGGTATGAACAGTCATACAGAAATCACATTACTCACTTCAGATGTAATTGTCTAATTACACATTCACACCAAAAATCTGATCGTTATCTGATTTTTGGACCATTAAGATGATTGAAATTACATACAAACTTCAAAATTTGATGTGAGTCATCAGAGGAACCACGATCGGAAAGAAATAAGATAATTCTGCTGTCCATATCTTTTTTTTTTTTTTTTTTCCCAAAGTCACTAATAGAAATTATCATCTCCAACATTGATGGATTTATTATTTATTATTATTATTATTATTATTATTATTATTATTTATTTATTTATTTATTTTTTGTATCCTTTAAGATATTTCAACAGCATCTACAGTGTAATAGTGAAATCTGTCTCTTGCCCCCATCTGAGAGCATTTGAACACCAATATAATCATGGAAGTATAGATGTGTCAAAAGTTTTGAATTTGAATATTTCATGATGAATGAAATAACTTGAATACAAAAATTGTTGAAATGAAAAAAACAAAACATTAACATAATAAATAATAGTATAATAATAAATTCAGACTGACAAAATTCAAGTTGAATTTTAAATTTTTTTATCTGAATTTCTCAAGTTGAGAAATTCAGATCGAACCCATTCAGGTCAAAGTTCACCCCACATTTTGTTACTCTGGAAACTTGTTAACACCAGGGGGGTGAATGTTTTTGATCTGAACTTCTCAACTTGAATTTCTCAACTTGATTTTTTTTTTTTTTTTTTTTTCTTAACTTGAATTTTGTCAGTCTGAATTAAAGATGCTGAAAAATAATGTAAAATCATACCACCCTATCACATGTTAATGCTTTTTTTTTTTCAATTATTTCCATTTCAACTAGTTATTTCATTCATCATGAAATATTCAAATTCAACAATATGTGTGTCAGTCGTTCATTCGTTTTTCAATATAAAACCAAAAATAAGAAAAAAAAAAAAAAAAAAAACAGATAACATTTTTTTTTTTTTTTTTTCAGATTTTGATTTTGTGTTTAAATGAATAATGGGGGAAAAAAAACAAAAAAACAAAAACAAACTGATAACGGCTGGTTCTTGTTTCCATGACTTAAACTGCGATACCGAACTGAACCAGGACTGAACCAAGTCCAGGACCAGACCAGAACCAGACCGGGACTAAGACCAGGACTGAGGCCGGGACCAGGAACAGGACTAAGACCGGGACTCAGACCGGGACTAAGACCGGGACTCAGACCGGGACTGAGACCAGGAAAAGGACTCAGACCGGGACTGAAACTGGTACCAGACCGGGACTGAGGCCAGGACTGAGGCCGAGACCAGACCAGGACCAGACCGTGATTGAGACCGGGACTGAAAACGGTTTAGTCCTGTTTTAATCCTGGTTCAGTCCTGGTTCAGTCTGGCATTGCAGTTTAAGTTCCAGAAACAGGAAACAGGCTGTTATCTCTTTTTTGTTTTTTGTTTTGTTTTTTCCATTATTCATTTAAACACAAAATCGAAAACTGAAAAAACCAAATCGTTGCAATTTGTCTCACCTTAAAATATCACAATAAATATCATACCTTGAGATGCATATCATGAACATATCCTACTGAGAGACTTGGATATTGTTACATCTCTATTATTTGCACCAGAAATCAGAGAATGATCAGATCTTTGGTGAGTGAGCAAGTAAAAAAAAAAGCCACTGACTGTTTCACTTCTACCAAGCAACATCCCTCGTTCATATCTGCTGGTCAACTCCCAATACCAAGCTTACATTTTTGTTTTGGTGAGAGCCCGAGGAGGTGAGGTGAGGAGAATCCGTGGAGGTGAGCTGCAGACAGCCGCACCGTGTTTGAAAAAAGCCCACGGTAATTGTATTAATGGAGGAGCGGCTCTCGGCTTAACACGCTGCCCCCTGGTGGATGTGCCAAGGTAGAGGCGCTGTCAGAGGCTTCAGATGTACGCTTGGTTAACCCCCCGAGGCTCCCGGCCCCCGGGCTACACCGGCTCTACGCTTCCCCCCCTCTCCCCCCTCCCCTCTCCCATCCATACATCCAGTCCACCGAGCTCAGGCTCAGGCAAAGGGAATAATTCATCAAAGAGCAGCTCTCGGCTCAGGGAGATGGAGCCGGCGTATTCCTCACATAAAGGCGATTGTCCATATAATCTCTGCTCATTACGGTTCATATGTGAGGAGGCTTTCTTGATGTATATGTGCGAGCTTTTTAGGAAATATTAGTCAGAATGTAGCTATAGGTCAGCGGTTAGAAACAGCTTCAGAGTGATGCTGTTTTATTAATAATTGAATATTTGAATCATGCCTCTGGTAGAGTTGGCCACCCGCTTGTCTAAGTGTAATGCCATACTGTGGAGAAATGACTAAAGCAGTACAATCTGAGGTTGATTCTTTAGTTGAGTTCTTTAGTTTTACAGAGAACAGGAACTGACAAATAAGGTCAAAGGTAAAGTTTGAGCTCAGTATGTTTTACAATATTTATTCACGTGATGAAGGAGTCTCAAATACAAACAAAATGACATGAACTAATTTTTGACCCAACACGATGTTACAGTGTTTTGCCTTTGTAGGACAGAGTACAGTAGGTGTAGTTAGAAACGTTTAAAGCTACGTTTGTAATTCGACTGTCAGACCTGCTCCTGTTGTATTCTCACATAACACCACGAGATGCTGTCTACATTACTTCTGTGTGACGTTGTGCTGGCTTTGGTCTGACAGAAGAAACCCAGAGCACAGCTGAGCCAAATAGGAAGGTCGCATGTGGCTCTTCCGGCTCCTTTTGACTCTGGCTCCCATTGACTTTCATTGGAATATTACCGTCTCGCTCTCTCTGTAACTGCTCCTGTGAGTCTCGTCATTTTGGTCGCCTTAACCAGCAAAAAAAAATCCCTCCAGCAGTGAAAGGATTTTTCTCACAGAGCGCAATGTAATCACAAACTGCTCGTATCCGGCTGACAGGGACTGACAGGACACCCACGGCTTTCAAAAATGTTGGTTCCTGCGGTGATTTTTACCTATTTTTAGATCAAAAACTTTTTTTCAGCTCAAAATCCTTCCGTTGTCTTAAAAAAACGCTATATAATCGTTCACTCCGGCTATATTCTGTTTCGCTCCAGCTCCTCTCACTCTGATTGGTCAAAGCGATCAGGCGATTAGGTGATCAGGCGTCGGCGTTTGCCCACAGGAGAAAAGACACTACTGCACATGCTCAATCAGCGCAGAGCCACCGGAAGAACCTCGCCGGGCTAAAGGCCAACCAGGAACCAACCAGGCCAACCAGGAACCAGGAACCATGCACCATTGAGCTCGACCCTTTGAATTGAATGGGCGGCCATGTTTACACCCCTGGGCTTGGTCTTAAAGTCCCATCTGATGCAAAATAACTCTTTTCACATTGTATCTTCTGCACATAAACAAGCACAATTTGGGTTTTGGAACATCCATTACACAATAGTTCTGAAATCTTACTGATTTCTTGGAGACAGTCACAGACCAGGAACTATGAAAGGTCGACTATTGCTCCTCCCCCCGCCTGTCCTGAGAAAGCACAGGCTCCGCCCTCCAAACGTGACGTAGGCGACGAGTGAGCCGCCCTTCCTCCACCCATCTCAGGGAGGGAGGGGGAGACAGGTGTGACCCTGATAGTGGCAGGAATAAACTTTTATTCATCATGGAGATACAGCGTGTTCAGCCGCATGTGTTGGACCCGGAATCGGACGAGGACTTTGAGGAGCACGAAGCTCAAGCACCGCGTCCACATCAACTGAACATTACTGATTGGTAAAATATTAATAAACACTAGTAGATCAACTTATTATATCAGTGTAGGAGAATGAGCTTATGCTGTCACTTTTGTTTAGATGTTCATGTGGGAATTGTCAGTTGATGGGGGCGGAGGTGGGGCGGAGGAGGGGCCTGGGTGTGACGCTCTTTCTGCTACGTCAAAAGCGTCATAGGTGTATCTGCCGCGTCATCGTTGTAGCAGCTTTAGTTCGTTGTCACGTGGGAGAGTGGCAGAAATATGCTGCAATTTGTTAAAAAAAAACACAGAATAGATCTATAAACCACTTCAGCGACAAATACGAGGCCCACACATCACTCTTAGAAGGTAGAAAGCTCTGAAAAGTTGATTTTGCATGAGATGGGCCCTTTAACCTGCTCTACATGATCCTGTTTTTTTCCTCGCTTTTTTATAATATAGAGCCTGTCTCCAAATTTAGCATCGTGAGCTTCATTTGAGTGGTGCTAAACACTCTGGGTGACGTCACACTCACTTAGTCCACATTTTTTTATAGAGTCTATGGCCTGTGCAAAGGCCAGGAGGCAATTTCACATGACATCTGCTTGTAAAATCACATGAGTTCGAGCACTTAATCACGATTAATCGCATGTTATAAGCAAAACCAATTAATGAATTAAAAAGTAGAGTATAGTGCACTTTCATTGGAAATGTAAATGAAAGAGCCATACATTTGTTGTGCAAACAGCTTTTCTTTCACAGAGGAACCCTCAGAGTCTTCAAGGTATTCAGTGAAGGTTCAAGAAAAAATACTGAATGGACTTTTGTACTACTAATATATTTATTGAATATTTTTTATGCCGTGAGTAATAAACACTACACTAGTAAGAACTTCTAGATCATTGTTATGGTAAATGGTCACATTTTTCTATAGAGGTTTTCCACCTTCAAAGCACTTTACAACAAGGAACCACTCACACATTCACACACCAGTGTACACAGACACTGTGGGCAAGGTGGGTAAAGTGTCTTGCCCAAGGACACAACAACAGAATTCATCTGTGGGAGCTGAAATCAGCCTTTGGGTCAGTGGATCTGACCGCTCAAGCTTGTGATGTTTATGTTGAGAGCTGGAATTGAACCACCAACCTTCAGATCACGATCGGCGAATACTCTACCAACTGAGCTATTGCCGCCCAAATTATCAGCTCAGCTCAGAGCGCACGGCTGGTCCGGCCACAGCTGAACAGCCGAACCCGTGGCCGAACTCACGGCCAAACCTGCGGCCGGAGCCGGAGCCTGCAGCCGAACCCGTGGCTGGGCCCGTGGCTCGCAGAGGCTCGGACACGTTACATTTCACATGGTCAGAAAAAAGTGAATAAAGTGTAACGAAAAGATGTCAAACCTAAAGAAACGCTCGCGGTGGACTTTTTCAAAATAAGAGCCAGTGAGAAACACACGTTTACAATAAGATAAATAAATATTGAAATGATAAAAACTGTGTTAACGGCATTAAAATAATTGTCGCCGTTAATGACTTAATAAGTTAATGCAAAGTTAACACGTTATCGTGCCCAGCCCTAAAAAAAATAAACTAAACTTACGGATGGTACCTTTAAGGCTATGCTGTTCCATCAGTAAATTTCACTAAATAAAAATGTCACTTAACTTGACATATTTTCAAAACACGTTCTGTTTTTCAAGTTTGTATCAGTCTCATATAATGTTGTTTAATTACTTTCATTCACACAAGCTTGAATAATTATTTTAGTCACATTTTTATACAGCGCTTTTCCACCTTCAAGACACTCAAAGCACTTTACGTCAAAGAACCACTCACCCACACACACATGTATACACCAGTGTACACTTGCCCAAGGACACAAAGACAGCATTCATCTGTGGAAGCTGGAATCACACCTCCAACTTTCAGATCAGTGGACAAACTCTACCAACCTTCTCAAAATGTAATATTTCCTCTGAACGTACACAACCTGACTGTGTCTCTGTCGTTTCAGATGACGCGTACCTGCTGACGGGCCTGAACATCGAGGAGATCTACCCCGAGACCCACAGCTTCATCACGTACGACGGCTCTATGACCATACCTCCATGTTTCGAGACGGCCACCTGGATCCTCATGAACAAGCCTGTGTACCTCACTCGCATGCAGGTACAGCCTCACCTCCATAAACACTCCATTTCCCATGATCCCTCCTGCTCTGGTACCTCTTTTAGTTTATCTATTCACCTTTTCTCTAAATAATATGAATAAAATGATGACATAAATACTTTCTCAAACGTCCTGCCTATTTAAATGTCATATTTTTCTGAGTACACAATACAATCTGTGAATTTCAAATCATTTTTAAAGGTCTGATACTACACAAAATAAACTCTTGTGAGCTTTAATGTTAGAATGTTGTTACCTCACAGAAAACAGACCTGGAGTTGTGTTTACTTTCATTCACACATGTTTGAGTAACTCTTTATTATTAGTCTGTCTACATCTCCAAATTGCTCTGTTCCAGCTTGTGATGTCATGAAGTGGTAGTTTTCAAGTTATCAGCTCCTTTTAAATTTATTATTATTATTATTATTAATTATTATTATTACTGTTATTATTATTATTGTTATTATCTTGTATTTTATTATAATTTTTATTTATTTTATTATTATTTTTTCTTGTGAAAATTGGAAATTCCAGGGTTGAAGTTCTCCAAGTGTTTTGTTTTTTTTTTTTGTTTTTTGTGAAGGTGTAAGTAGTTTAAAAACACAGTGGAGCACTTCCTGTATTACCACATGACATCACAAGGAGTTTTTGTCTGTGGGAGAGAAGAATTCAGCATAATGTCCTGTTTACAAGAGAACGCTTGCGGGTAAAAACAACTAAATATTTTATCGGAAGTGCCTTTCGTTTAGATGGTGACGGCGTTTTTGGGGCTTAAAAACTCAAAAATCTGAAACCAGCCTCCAGAGTGGAAAAGTTGAATAGCATTTCCGTCTACACTGGTCAGGACACAAAACTCTGGTCAGATGTGCTCAGGTCGTGTACGAGTTTACATCACATACATACAGGACACAGAAACAAACATGTCAGATTATTTCCGTGCGTCAGACTTTCAAGCTGCTCTGATAGTTCTAATAAACTTACAGGAGGCAAAACAACAAATGTCGAGAATCTGCAGAGATACTATTAACTATCAACAGAGAAAGATCCGCAATCACCTCTGTCAGATTCTGGATGCACCAGTTTGTGGATGAGACCTGGAGAACCAGTCAGTGGTGGGACAACTTTGTGGAAGGAGGAGCTGATGAAAATGCGCGGCGTGAAAACTTCCATATGTCCAAAAATCCGTGTATCATTCGTTCATTCATTTTTCAATATAAAACCAAAAATAAGAAAACGAAAAAACAACAGTTTTCTTTGTTATTTGTCTCCAAAACCAAAACCAACCGGATAACGATTCGCGCTGGTTCCGTGCGGGGAAAGTGAGAATGTTCTGTGGACTACAGGTCCGGACGGGCTGCTCCAGTCCTCTGCGCTCAAGAACCGCGGCTGGTTCCGAGGTGGTGCAAAGCATCCAACTGACGCTTTCACACCAACGAAAATGAACCGAACTAAAAGCTTTTGGTTCAAATGGACCAGACCGGGACCAGAGCACTACTGGAGACTGGTCCTGGTCCCGGTCTGGTCCTGGTCTGGTCCTGGTCTGGTCTCGGACCTGGATCAGTCCTGGTTCAGTCCGTATGCAGTGCAAAAGTCCGGCACTGCAGTCACGGAAGTCACGTAAACGGGAAACGGCTGTTATCCGTTTTTTCCATTCTTCATTTAAACACAAAATCAAAAACTGAAAAAACGAATCGTTATCCCTTTTTTCATTTTGGTTTTGGAGACAAATAGTGAAGAAAACAGTTGTTTTTTCGTTTTCTTATTTTTGGTTTTATATTGAAAAAAAATGAACGAATGATACACGGATTTCCAAAGACGCTCTTGTTGCTTTAAGTACAAACACACACAATCCAGTTCCACACACTTTTGCGTCACTGTATGCAGCAGATTTCCTCCTGAAAACACTTATCTAAACGTGGAATAAAACGTGAAGACGCTACGGCACTTTTACATCTTCTGTTCAGACCGTCATCATATAAACATAGTCTAAATATGCAGGATTTTTGTATTAAACATGTGTGAATAAAACAAAACACTACTCCGGGTATGTTTTTTTAATGAGGAAACAACATTATAACATAAATCAGAAATATAGCGTAATATGGACCTTTTAATTTAAAAACATCTTGCATTTCAGTACTAAATATATCATCTATAATATATGACTTTTCTTAGCTTCATATGGTCTAATACTTCTCCATTCTTTCCTTGATCATTTGCCAGCAGTGTTGGGAGTAATGTGTAATAAAAGTAACAAATTACTGTAATGCATTGCTTTTTGCTGTAATGCAGTTATGTGGCATTACATGGAAGAAACAATGCCTTTTTTTTTTTACCTGGATTAAAGTGGTGGGTTTTTCCTTTTTCTTCATACAATTTCTCTAAAATCACTGCGATATCAGCAGCGGTGAAACGCCAGAGACGTGCCCACGTAGACCATCGAGTGACCACAGGCTAAATGACCTATACAGAACTCCACGCTCCACGGAGCGAAACACAGTTGACGCCCGATCACGCTCGGGGTTCTCTCAACAGTTTACTTTCACCACTCACTCACATAGTTAACATGTCACTTCAATCTGGAATATTCCCAAATGCGTTGAAAACTGCAGTCATTAAGCCTCTCCTAAAGAAGAGCAGTCTTGATGCCACAGTACTGAACAATTTCAGACCCATCTCAAATCTGCTGTTTTTTTGGCAAAGTCCTTGAAAAAGCTGTTTACCAACAGCTTACGAACTTTCTCCAAATGAACAACTCCTTTGATGTTTTCCAGTCAGGTTTTAGAGCCTCCACAGCACTGAGACTGCTCTTATCAAGGTGACAAATGACATCCGCCTGAACACTGATGCAGGCAAAGTCTCAGTCTTGATGCTGTTAGATCTGAGTGCTGCTTTTGACACTGTCGATCATGGGATCCTCTTACAGAGACTAGAGGACTGGGTGGGCATCTCTGGTACTGTACTAAACTGGTTCAAGTCCTATCTAGAAGACAGGAAGTATTTTGTTGAAATTGGAAACTGTGTCTCAGATGACATGGCCCTGACCTGTGGGGTGCCTCAGGGGTCAATCCTGGGCCCCCTGTTGTTCAATCTCTACATGCTGCCATTAGGCCAGTTAATAAGCAGCAATAACGTGTCGTACCACAATTATGCAGACGACACTCAGATCTACGTCTCTCTGGCAGCAGGAGACTATGGACCAGTGGAGTCACTTGGTCACTGCATCCAACAGATCAGTGTGTGGATGCAAAACAACTTTCTCCAGCTAAACTCTGACAAGACTGAAGTCATAGTGTTTGGTCCACAGAAACAAAGGGACAGTGTCAGCAGTCACCTCCAGTCTCTCTCTCTAAAACCTTCAAATCAGGCAAGAAATCTAGGGGTAATAATGGACTCAGACTTGAACTTTAACAGTCACATCAAGTCAATAACATCTGCAGCCTTTTACCATCTAAAAAACATAGCAAAAATCAAAGGTTTACTGTCTAAAGCAGACTTGGAGAAACTTATCCATGCATTTGTCTCCAGTAGGTTAGATACTGTAATGTTCTGCTCACTGGTCTCTCCAAACGAGCTGTGAGACGCTGCAGAACATCCAGAACGCTGCAGCTCGGGTCCTGACTCGAACTAGGAAGTACGAGCACATAAGTCCTGTGCTCAGGTTTCTGCACTGGCTCCTGTGGCTCAGAGACTTTAAAGCAGCTCTGCTTGTACAAGTCTCTCCATGGCCGAGCACCAAAGTACATCTGTGACATGTTAGTGTCATATGAACCATCTCACACTCTGAGGAGCTCAGAGTCAGAACTAAACAAGGGGAGTCAGAGTTTCAGGTTCATGCAGCTAAAACCTGGAACATTCTTCCTGAACATGTGAGACAGACTCTTCTGTGACGCTGTTTAAATCCAGACTCAAAACATTTCTGTTTAACTGTGCAAATAACTGAAAGGTTTTCATTCCACACTCTTCTCTCCAATTTATGTCTCTCTTTTTTAATTTTAATCCTTCATGATTATTTATGTTTTGATTTGTTTTTATTATGATTTTAATGTATTTCTTATTCTGTAAAGCACTTTGAATTACTTTGTGTACGAATTGTGCTATACAAATAAACTTGCCTTGCCTTGCCTCTCAGGGGCGGTCCTAGATTCCAAGTTTTAGCCCAAGATTAGTCCTGGTTCAGTCCTGGTTTGGTCCTGGTTTAGTCCTGGTTTAGTCCTGGTTTAGTCCTGGTTTTGGTCCTGGTTTAGTCCTGGTTTAGTTCTGGTTTAGTCCTGGTTTAGTCCTGGTTTGGTCCTGGTTTAGTCCTGGTTTAGTCCTGGTTTAGACCTGGTTTAGTCCTGGTTTAGTCCTGGTTTAGACCTGCTTTAATCCTGGTTTAGACCTGCTTTAGTCCTGGTTTAGACCTGCTTTAATCCTGGTTTAGTCCTGGTTTAGTCCTGGTTTAGTTCTGGTTTAGTCCTGGTTTAGTCCTGGTTTAGTCCTGGTTTAGTCCTGGTTTAGTTCTGGTTTAGTCCTGGTTTAGTCCTGGTTTGGTCCTGGTTTAGTCCTGGTTTAGTCCTGGTTTAGACCTGGTTTAGACCTGGTTTAGTCCTGGTTTAGACCTGCTTTAGTCCTGGTTTAGACCTGGTTTAGTCCTGGTTTAGACCTGCTTTAGTCCTGGTTTAGACCTGGTGCTTTAGTCCTGGTTTAGTCCTGGTTCAGCTCTGGTTCAGTCCATATCCGGCACAAAAGTTGAGCATCTTCATAGTTATTTTGCTGAGAGTAACTTAAAAGTGCTGCAATATTAATGTAATATGCAGTAATATTATAATGTAACAAATGACTTTGAAATGACAGTCACAGGTCATAAATAACACAGTACAGTTTGAAAGTCACTTGCCCACAGTGTTTACCAGAGACTGATCATTTGCCCATAGAACCTCACATATAATAAGTGTATTCTGTTACAGTTACTCCTTCATTTGGTGGTACTCAGAATACAATTACTTTTCTAAACTAAA